GGTTTGTTCACTCTCCTGTCAGTTTCCAGACCCTGCACTCTCATCGTTTCATGGGTTAATTGCTGTGTCAGATAACCTCTATCTGCAAACCTGCTTTGCATCTCTAATAGTCGTTCCTATTCCACAGATTCCTCACTCACTATGCGATTTACTCATGTCATCTGGCTACAGAGTACTGATTTAAACACTGCTGGCGGGTGACAGCTAGAATATAATAATAACTGATTACTGTCTTTCAGCTTCACATAAATCTGTCTCAATTTAATTTTTCCTATAAACCCTAACATCTAGAAAAAGGATACATTTTTCATTACAGTGTATGTTGAATTGTTCTGGTATGTTACTGTTGAAGTATGAATCAAACCTCTTTAAGGACTCAATGTCTCCCCCCCATATGGCAAAAATATTGTCAATAAATCTATACCAAATCACAGCAAAAATAGAGGGTGCTCAAAAATGTAAGAATATACAGTAAACAGGGCTTAAAATTTTGAGTCTAGACCTACTAGCCAGGCACAAACCTTACTCTCCACCAGTTGCCCCACCCAACCTTGCCCAGGTCCGCCTCCAACTCCACCCCCCCCCCGTCCATCCCCCAACCTGCCCCAGCCCTGCCCCCAACCACGCCCCCTTAAAGCTTATGAAATTACATTTTTCTTTAGATTAAAGAGTTCAAAATATAAAAAACTGCAATTATAACATAGCTTTATTATGTCAATTTAGACATAACAGCAATAGTTTAATAGCAATAGGGTGCAATAAGGCTTAGAATCTAAGCCTTATTGCACCCTATTGTTATTAAGCTATTGCTGTTATTTTTAAACTGACATAATAAAGCTATGTTATGGGGGTACTATTCCTCCCACTGACATCAATGATGGGGCACTATTCCTCCCACTGACACCAATGATGGGGCACTACTCCTTCCACAGACACCAATGATGGGGCACTATTTCCCCCACTAGCACCAATGATGGGGCGTTATTCCTCCCACTGATACCAATGATGGGGCACTATTCCTCCCACTGACACTAATGATGGGGCACTATTCCTCCCATTGGCACCAATCATGGGGTACTATTCCTCCCACTGACATCAATGATGGGGCACTATTCCTCCCACTGACACCAATGATGGGGCACTACTCCTTCCACAGACACCAATGATGGGGCACTATTTCTCCCACTGGCACCAATGATGGGGCGTTATTCTTCCCACTGATACCAATGATGGGGCACTATTCCTGACACTAATGATGGGGCACTATTCCTCCCATTGGCACCAATCATGGGGTACTATTCCTTCCACTGGCACCAATCATGGGGCACTATTCCTCCCTCTGACACCAAGCATGGGGTACTATTCCTTCCACTGACACTAAGCATGGGACACTATTCCTCCCACTGGCACCAAGTATGGTGCATTGTTCTGTTTACTGATACCGATGACAGGGTATAATTTCTCCCACTGATGCAAACGCTGATGTGTTATTCTTTCCACTGGAACTAAAGTTAAGGCACTACTAATCCCAGTTAAATCCAGGGAACCTTGGAGTCTCCACCACCATGCAATAACCCCATTTCATTCCTCCTACACTGAAGTGTGCACACCTCCAGCCTTAACTGAGAATCCAGGGAATCTCAGCATCTCCACAATCATACATGCTGCATGCTTCAGTGGAGGAATGAAGTAGAACTATTGCATGGTGGTGGATACACCGAGGTCCTTGGACTTTCGGTTAAGGGTGGAGGTGTCCATGGACTGAAATCCAGGCACATCAATAAAAAAAGAGGGGTGAGGGGGGGGTAAGAGAGAGAGAGGGGGGTCAGAGAGAGGAGGTGAGAAAGAGAGGGGGGGTAGGTGAGAGAGGGGAGGGGGTCAGAGAGAAGGGCTGAGAAAGAGAGAGAGGGGGTAAAGAGAGAGGGAGGGAGGTCAGAGAGAGGGGGTGAGAAAGGGAGAGGGGGAGGTGTTAGAGAGGGAGGGGGGTCAGAGAGAGGGGGTGAAAAAGAGAGAGAGGGGGGTGAGAAAGAGAGAGAGGGGGTGAGAGAGAGGGAGGGGAGGGGAGTCATAGAGAGGGGGGTGTGAGAGACCCCTAGCCTGTCCCTGTCTGCAGTTCCTCCTGTGCCTCCTTGTCCTAGTACCCCTCTGCTGTGTGTGATAAGGTGTGTGTGATGCTCAGTACGATACCTTCCATGCCAGCAGGATGTGCATGATAGCTAGCAGCAGACAGGATCTGGTATTGCTCTTGGTGAGGACAGGAGGTGCTCTACTCTTTCCAGCGAATCTGTGTGATGTGAGATGGAGCGGTCCCTGGCTGCCTGCACCTCCAGTCCATCCCCATTCTCTGGGATCCCGGTAATTCTGTCTTCCGGTCCCGAGAGCAGAGAGAAGACTGTGTGAGGGGGTGCACATGCTCCCAACATCACCATAGCAACATCTGACGCCAGAGTGGCCATCGGATACAGACAGCTAGACGAGCCACAGGACACAAGTACTGGGGGAGGCGGGAGAACCTCATACAGTACAGTTGATAGGTAAAAGAAAAGGGAGTGATAGAAGGTGCAGGAGGGGTGTCAGGGATCGCGGCAGCGTGCGGGTCTGCGCATGCGCAGAACGGCAATACACTCTAACCGGCGGGTGCTAGGACCTAGGCAGCCACTGCAACGGCCGCGCATGCGCACTCGCGATCACGGACACGCACCTGGCACCAATGACAGTGCAGGGTGCACTATTTAAACCAGCCCTACACAGACTCAAATTGCCGTATGGTCTTCATTATCTGTTCTGCTCGTTTTGCCTGCTGATTGACCTTGTTGCCGACCCTGCTTGGTTATGACCTTTGCTGACCATCTCCTGCTCTGACCCCATGCTCGTTTGAGTACTCTCCTGCATACCCCTGATTATCTGACCTCCTGTTGCTGGACCTGGCTTGTGACCCGACTACTCTCTGTCTGCTGCTCTGTACTGTTCTGTCTCCGCTGTTACCGACCCGGCCCGTCTGACTACGCTACACTACCCTGCCATCCATCCGTCCATCCATCCTGCACGGATCCGGTCACTGCTGCCCAGGTATATCTGGCTCTTAACATCAGGCTCTCTTCCAGTACATACCTCTGGCGGTTCCCTCTACCACAGGCAGGTGCACTCAGGGGCTGCAACCTGGTCACAGTCTGCTCCAAGTCCATCCCCACCATCAGGAGCCCTGGTGAATAAGCAGACTGGGACTTAGACCCTGCGACCTGGAGAATTCTGTCCAGTGGGTAGCTAGAGATACCGTCAGGCGGTACATGACAAGCGGTCAGTAATGGGCAAAGAGAAGCCAACAATAACACTCGCCCCCATGTTATTTCCACTCGGCAAATGCGAGCAGGCGAGTGGAAATTTTAAGCCCTGCAGTATGATATATATATTTATATATATTTTTTTTACATACTGTCACCAGAGCAAGTGCAGTGTTACTATGGTGATATTGTACCACTGTGGTGTTGATAATGTACAATGGTGTATATCAGTGTCACCAGCCATTCTCTGTGATCACCATCACAGCTGTCAGGAATGGACTTGCCAATAATGGTGGGACTCACCTGCCTTGTGGGCTGCAGTACCAGGGCTGGCCAGCGGGTGCTCTCAGCAATCAGAGACTGAACCCTGCAGTCAGCCAAAACACCTGAGGCTGATTGCAGGTGTATTTAAGGGATGGCCAGACCTGCAGTCTGTGCCTTGGTGTGTGTTTTTCTATGGGCCCCTGTATCTTGTTACCTGCATTCCTGTTCCTGTTCCTGCCTGACTGACTCGCTGCCGACCCTGCCTGATCAGGACCTCTGCTGACTTCTCCTGTTTGATCCCTGGCTTGTGACCCCGACCATTCTCTGCCTGACCCCCTGTACCTACCTGCCCATTAGTTGCTGTACCCGGCTCGTGACCTGACTACTCTCTGCCTGCTCCTCCTGTTCCTACCTGCCCTATTGATATTGACCCGGCCTGCCTGACTCGCTTGCATTGTATGTATTGTTATCTGTGGGTGGTTTGGTTCGTTTGCACTGTGTTATGTTTTTGTATTGCACTGCGTTTATGTATTGTTAGTATTAATAAATTACATTGTTTATAACATATCTGAAGCCTGCGTTTCCCTGCGTCAGTTCACATACCTCTGGTCATACCTGGAGCCCTGACATTACACCAAGGCCAATCCTGACCAGAAGTGGCTGCACAGGGAAGCCATCTTGGCTTGTTGCTGGGAAGGATGGATCTTGATGAGGTTGTGTATTTGTCGCTGCTGGTTTTTGATGACAGAGAATATGCTTATCAGACTCTGAGGGAGTATACCCGGGATCAACTGCTAGAATGTATACGGATCGCTCATGTTCTAGTAGATCAGGGCACAGAGTTCTCTGAGGTGCAACCTTTGATTCAGGTTTGTGTAGAGTTGGCTTCATCTGGTACCCCTGAAAGCAGGAATGACTTTTTGCCACCATTTAGTGCAGACCAGGTAGAGTCCCTGGTATGGTTATTAGAGGATGATGTGGATTGCTTCTTGGAGCATTATGCTGCATGTTCACCACAGGTATTAAGGGATTGTATAAACGCAGTGCAGTCATTGACCAGACAGGCTTTGTGTAAGCTGAGCTTTGTTCAACCCATACTGCAGACATGGTCAGACTTGTTGCACCCAGCCTCAGTCAGCTTACAACGTCATTCCTCCACTCAAGGCACTCTTCCTACATCCCCGACAGCACCCCCAGTGACGGCCCAGTATACTCTGCTAACTACCACATACCAGTCCTCTGCTCCCACTCGCTGCACCTATCCTTTCTTTAACCCTGTAAAGAAGTCCTCTGTAGCAACTGCTCCCTCCTCTGTTCCATCTTCCAGCTCTTCTCTGTCCTCAGCTGCTCCATTCGTTTGCAGACCTGCGTTTACTTGCAGTGCTCCAGTAGTTAAAACCAGAAAAAAGCGAAAATTCTTTCCAACCAGTACCATCCTGCCAGTATCCAAACCGGTGAGCCTGCCGGCTGAGAGCCTGCCTTCCGTGGTTCAGCCTGGTGCCTCGGTGCCCACAATTCAGCCTGATGTCTTTACCCAGCCTGATGCCTCTACCCAGCCTGATGAACTGATCCAGCCTGATGATCCTATTATGCCAGGTGACTCGGTGCCCGCTGTCTTGTCAGGTGACTCGGAGCCCACTGTCTTGCCAGATGAGTTGGTGCCCGCAGCCGAGCCAAACGATCCAACGCCAGATGACCCGGTGCCCGCTGTCGATCCAGACGATCCGGTACCTGATGACCCGGTGCCCGCTGTCATGCCTGGTGACCCGATGCCCGCTGTCGAGCCAGACGATCCAATGCCTGATGACCCAGTGCCCGCTGTCATGCCTGGTGACCCGATGCCCGCTGTCGAGCCAGACGATCCAGTGCCAGATGACCCGGTGCCTGCTGTCAAGCCAGACGATCCGGTACCTGATGACCCGGTGCCCGCTGTCGTGCCAATTGACTCAGAGCCCATTGTCGTGCCTGGTGACTCGGTGCCCACTGCCTTGCCAGATGACGCGGTGCCCGCTGTCGAGCCAAATGACCTGATGCCTGGTGACCCGATGCCCGCTGTCGAGCCAGACGATCCAATGCCTGATGACCCAGTGCCCGCTGTCATGCCTGGTGGCCCGATGCCCGCTGTTGAGCTAGACGATCCAACGCCAAATGACCCAGTGCCCGCTGTCGATCCAGATGATCCGGTACCTGATGACCCGGTGCCCGCTGCCATGCCTGGTGACCCGATGCCTGCTGTCGAGCCAGACGATCCAATGCCTGATGACCCGGTGCCCGCTGTCGATCCAGACGATCCGGTACCTGATGACCCAGTGCCTGCTGTCATGCCTGGTGACCCGATGCCCGCTGTCAAGCCAAATGACCTGATGCCTGGTGACCCGATGCCTGCTGTCGAACCAGACGATCCGGTGTCTGACCCAGTGCCCGCGGTCATGCCAGTTGACTCGGAGCCCACTGTCGTGCCTGGTAACTCGGTGCCCACTGCCTTGCCAGATGACGCGGTGCCCGTTGGCGAGCCAAATGACCTGATGCCTGGTGACCCAGTGCCCGCTGTCATACCTGGTGACCCGATGCCCGCTGTCGAGCCAGACGATCCAACGCCAGATGACCCGGTGCCCGCTGTCAATCAAGACGATCCGGTACCTGATGACCCGGTGCCCGCTGCCATGCCTGGTGACCCGATGCCTGCTGTCGAGCCAGACAATCCAACGCCTGATGACCCGGTGCCCGCTGTCGATCCAGACGATCCGGTACCTGATGACCCAGTGCCTGCTGTCATGCCTGGTGACCCGATGCCCGCTGTCGAGCCAAATGACCTGATGCCTGGTGACCCGATGCCCGCTGTCGAACCAGACAATCCGGTGTCTGACCCAGTGCCCGCGGTCATGCCAGTTGACTCGGAGCCCACTGTTGTGCCTGGTGACTCGGTGTGCCACTGCCTTGCCAGATGATGCGGTGCCCGTTGGCGAGCCAAATGACCTGATGCCTGGTGACCCAGTGCCGCTGTCATACCTGGTGACCCGATGCCCGCTGTCGAGCCAGACAATCCAATGCCTGATGACCCAGTGCCCGCTGTCATGCCTGGTGACCCGATGCCCGCTGTCGAGCCAGACGATCCAATGCCTGATGACCTAGTGCCCGCTGTCATGCCTGGTGACCCGATGCCCGCTGTCAAGCCAGACGATCTAGCGCCAGATGACCCGGTGCCTGCTGTCAAGCCAGACGATCCAGTACCTGATGACCCAGTGCCCGCTGTCGTGCCAATTGACTCAGAGCCCACTGCCGTGCCTGGTGACTCAGTGCCCACTGCCTTGCCAGATGACGCGGTGCCCGCTGTCGAGCCAAATGACCTGATGCCTGGTGACCCGATGCCCGCTGTCGAGCCAGACGATCCAATGTCTGACCCAGTGCCCGCGGTCATGCCAGTGGACTCGAACCCACTGTCGTGCCTGATGACCCGGTGCCCGCCGCTCCGCCTGGGGGCCCGGTGCCCGCTGCCCCTCCTGGGGGTCCGGCGCCCGCCGCTCCGCCTGGGGGCCCGGCGCCCGCCGCTCCGCCTGGGGGCCCGATGCCTGCCGCTCCGCCCGGAGGGCCGGTGCCTGCCACCCCTCCTGGGGGCCCAGTGCCCGCCGCTCTGCCTGAGGGCCCGCCACTCCGCATGGGGGCCTGGCGCCCGCCGCTCGGCCTGCGGGCCCACCGCCCCACCTGGGGGCCCTGTGCCTGCCGCTCCTCCTGGGGGCCCTGTGCCTGCCGCTCCAGCCCGATGTGCCGCTGCCCGGAGTCCAGCCCGATGTGCCGCTGCCCGGAGTCCAGCCCGATGTGCCGCTGCCCGGAGTCCAGCCCGATGTGCCGCTGCCCGGAGTCCAGCCCGATGTGCCTCTGCCTCTGTATTGCACTGCGTTTATGTATTGTTAGTATTAATAAATTACATTGTTTATAACATATCTGAAGTCTGCGTTTCCCTGCATCAGTTCACATACCTCTGGTCATACCCGGAGCCCTGACAACAGCAGTACAATGTCACCAGACAAGTCAGTGTTCCGAATCCCTGCCACCCACTCATTGTCCCCAATCACCACCACACTAGCCATTTTGTCCCTAATCACTGCCACTCCAGTCATTTTGTCCCTAATCACCACCACACCAGTCATTTTGTCCCTAATCACCGCCACACCAGCCATTTTGTCCCTAATCACCGCCACACCAGTCATTTTGTCCCTAATCACTGCCACACAGGTCATGTTTTCCCTGATCAGCACCACATCAGTTACAGTGTTTTTGATCACCGCCACACCGGTCATATTCTCTCTAATCCCTGTCACACCAGCTATATTGTTCCTGATCACCGCCACACCAGTGTAAGCCAGCAAAGGTGTCCCTGATTGTTTCCACACTAGTCCCCAGTGTCACCAGACCAGTGCAGCCAGCAACAATGTTCACCGCCAAACCAGTGCAGTGTTCTCTCTTCCTGCCACCTGTACTGACCCTGGGTTGTTTATTGACCACTTTTCTGCCTGTTGCCTGGACCTTTGCCTATTTGCTGATCATGTCTCTGCCGGCAGCCTGAACTGACCCATCTGCACATCTGGCTGACTTTGTTCCTGTGAGACACTGCACTCCTGGAACCACAGGGGCTCTTTTTCTTTTCCTTTTTTCAGCCTCCGGGACTTCCTGGTAAGTGAGCATAACATTCCTGGGGGCAGCCACATAACAATAGGCTAGGCTTGCTTGGCTTATAGGAACTGGGACTGCTATGGGTGATGCTATACTAAGTTACATTCCCTGACCACTAGTTAAGAGGCGACCATTATAGTACATTGGTTTTATTCAAACTGGTTGATTTGTGCGATACACAAGATACACTGGGCTCTATTCACTAAAGCACATCGCATGCACTATTTAGGTGATCTGAGATATTTTTCCTAAATATTGCATGCAATGCTGAAAATGTCAATTCACTGTCACCTTATGCAACGTTTACCTCAAAACTCCCCAAACGCTCTGTAAATACCACATAAAACTGTTAAGTTAAAGTTAATTCACAAAAGGAAATAAATAATAAATGCATGAGTTAAATAAGTAGTGGTCCAGGCATGCGGTATTTAAGGAATGTAAAAATATAATAGCCAATTTTGAGTAGTCTCTGCCTTTTTGGATCAGTTCTCTCACATGCCAGGGTGGTGCGTGTTGGGATTCTTCCAATAAAGTGGGGTTCATTCATTAAGTGGCACATCTGCTCTTGCTCATCTGGACATCTCTTCTCTGCCTTAAGATTTAAATCTGCATTTATGTTACTGCTGCTTCATATCCATCTGTAGCCCTGATCACATTATTGCGTTGTTTTGTAAAGACATTTCTTACCTAAATTATGACTGAACTTAATCTTTACAACTCTGCTCTCTTGGTCCTCTTGCAGTTTGTTTGTGGTGTAAAAGAATTGCTCTGCTAGCTGTGTGCCTTAAATTAACTTCTGATTGATTTGTTGGGAAACTCCACACCCACCCACCACAGTACAAATCTAGATCACCTCTATGGGGGAGGCACATGCTGGTGGGCATATGCCAGGGTGGTGCATGTTGGGGTTCTTCCAATAAAGTGGGGTTTGTTAATTAAGTGGCACTTCTGCTCTTGCACTTCAGCATTTGCACAAAGTGAAAATCTACAGCAAGATACTTTGTAAAACTTCAGACTGCAGGTTACCTCATGTTCCCCATTCAGCTCTCCTTCTCTGTAACATGCACTCTCTACCTTTCCTTTTCACAGTTGTGTCCTCTCTCCTCAAACTCTGTTTCCTTCACCTCTGTCCTCCTCTTATCACTGCACTCATCATCTCTTCCTAATTCTAAACCCACATGCTAATAAAACCCACAGGATACTGAGGAATGTCCCCTCATATACAGTAAATCACACTCTCATCTTACCTCTCTCACCCTTCTGCTTCTCTTAACCTCTGGAGACATATCCCCAAACCATGGACCTCCTTTATTTAATTGTAACCAATGCATCCATCACCCTGTGCCCTCTGGCAGCAGCCACATTCAACACAATTTAGTCTCCATTCCTCTTCTCACTCGCTCTATCTGTAACCAACTCACCTCTGTTCGAGACCTCTTTGTCCTTTCATCTACTTGCTGTCACCTAAACCTGACTTCATGAATCTGACACTGCTTCTCCTGCTTCCCTCTCCAACGGTGGTCTTCTCTGGACTCCCCTAGACCCAGTGGATGCGAGGGAGGTGGAGTGGGAATCCTCCTATTCCAACAGAGCACCTTTCAGTTCTTCACTCTCCTCCCTCTCTGTCCCTCTCATCATTTGAAGCTTTGTGTACATTTATTTTCTCCAATTTCTTTAAGAATTGCTTTCATCTACTGGCCCCCTGGACCATTATCAACTTTCCTTGATGACGTCTCTGCCTGCTTACCCTCTTCTGAAATTTCAATGATGATTCTCGGCGACTTCAACATCCCTGATAATACTAAAACTCCTGCTACTTCTAAACTTCTTAGTCTAACCTCCTCATTTGACCTGAAGCAATGGGTACATACTTCTACTCATTCTGAAGGCAACACCCTTGGCCCTGTATCCTCCTACCTTTATGACAATATCTCACCCTCTCCTGCCCCAATCTAGCCACTGCTGTCTACAATAGATCCCCGTACTCTGCCCTGGATGAGCTTGCCCCTCTGACTACACACAGAATCAGACCTGACCACCACAACCCTGATAAATAGACAATACCAGAAGGCTCATATAATGCAGCCGTGCTTTTGAGCATCTGTGGCATAAGACTAAGTCTCACAAAGTCTTCAACCAAT